CTTATGTTTACAGAAATGAAGAACTGCCATATGATTAAAAATGCCATTTATAAACAGCGAACCCCTTGGTGCACTTAAAATTCAAGTTAAAAAAAAATCAAGACAGCCTTCAGGAAAACATCTATTCTCTAAAACTGGATACATCTACACCACTTGGTTCTTGTTAGCCTCTTACTAGACAACCAGGGATTCAGGGAGGGAGGGAGGGAGGGTGAGCGAGCACATTTACAGGTCTCTCAAAGAGCCAGATCAAGGTAAAATCCTTTTACATCAAGTTCCACGGGCCTAGTTCAGGGAACCGAACAAAGAGGGAAACAGACGGAGGCCCTCGCAACTGTCACCTCTGCTGAAAGCTGAACGAGAATGGGCATGAGACTGTGCAGGCGAGGTCAGGTCCAAGATGGCAGAAGGGGAAGGTGCCCACTGCGGCCTGTCAAATGTTCCAAGGAGGAACGATGGGGGAGACTGGGAAGCCACCTCGGATGTCATCTTCTCTGGAATGGCCCCACATGGGTGTAAGGAGATGGACTAAGGGGCTCCCTCACCCTTCCTTCCCATTCTCGTGATTTGGTTCTGTTCGTCCTTTGCTCCGCCACGGCCACCACCGCTCTTCCTGCACACGGTCGTCAACCCCGGCTTTGGTGTGGCTTCGCGTCGGGAGGGCCGCAGGTGTTTGGGGGACGCGTCTCTGGCAAGCTCCGCCCTCGCCATGGAGTATCATCTCGTATCTGCTTCCCATCACATCATCTGTTCTGTAAGCCTGGCTCGTGTGCTGCGTCTCCCGGGAGCCCCCCTCGACTCGCTGCAGCCCCCAAGCAGGAACTCGTCTCCCCCTCCTCTCGGGCTCCTACGCCCCTACCCTCCAATTCCCTGAGCCAGAGGCTCCTGTCTCCTGCGAGAGCGCCACAGGGCAGGATTACGTCCATCCGGCTCCGCAGGCCCATGGTGCCGGGCGTATTACGTATTGAAAGTACAAACGGGGGCCTAGCCTTGGCCTTGGCAATAGGAGTGGCAGTTTTCTGCACCATTTCAAATAGCGTATTTGGGATGCGTGAAGACACAGCCTATCATCGTAACGATGTGGATATGAGACAGGGTCATATTCATTTGGCTCTGCAGGGTACTTATTCGTGAAAACCGTGTAGTTACCTTAACTAGCAGCACCGATAGCATTTACCTTTCAACTCACAGTGGCACTGGTCTCCAAATATGGTACGATTCTTTTCCAAAAAAAATTTTTTTTAATGTTTATTTATTTTTGAGAGACACAGAGAGACAGCATGAGCGGGGGAGGGGCAGAGAGAGAGAGGGAGACCCAGAATCGGAAGCAGGCTCCAGGCTCCGAGCTGTCAGCACAGAGCCCGATGCGGGGCTCGAACTCACAAACCGTGAGATCATGACCTGAGCCAAAGTCTGTCTCTCAACCGACTGAGCCACCCAGGCGCCCCGAAGATTCTTTTTAGTATCAAGGAGTCAGAGGAGGGTATGTGAGCTTGTGCACCTACCACTTCCTGCTAATCACATCTACGGCCGCCGTGACACTCCCCAACATCTGCACATGATTGAACTACGACAGCAACAGAGAATTCTATAGCCTGCCATTTATTTTTGTCACCTCTTTTCAACTCCGGTCCAATGAACCCTGAAAGGTCTAGCAGGAAAAAAAAAAAAAAAAAATCCAAGGGAGCACAACCCTAGCTTTTGAAACATGTAACAAGAAGTCATAAGCAAACCAAAAATGATTTTATTTTAAAAAGAATAAATTTACATACACTACATGAGCAAGACATCTGAAACCTTCCAAAATAGAAACCCAGAGCATATGGCCCCGAAACACCACATGCTTTGATTACACTCAAGAAGCCCAAGTTGCCGACGCGGACTAGAAAATCCCATGTTACCAGTGCGACCATCAGGCCTGTTGTAGAGTGATTTCGGCCACGGCCATTCACGGGTTTTGAGTTCAAGGTCCCTTCTGTGTTTCCTTCTGCATAATGCTGTGGGGCAGGTCTGAGCAAAATCAGCATGGAGTGACAGCTGTTTAGGATGACGGTACAGGTTGGAGGTCCCGGCCCGGAATGGTAGTGGGCTGGGGGCAGGCTGAGGACGGTTAGAAAGGAGACATGTTCTGCTTGCCTCCCAGAGGTGCCAGGGGTCCTGAGGACTCTGGCGTCACGGTTTCCAAAGGCAGGGTTGGCCTGACCACAGGTCCTAAGCCTATGTTGGATACATCAGGATGAGCTTGACTTTTAAATTCTTAATCCCCAAGTCGCCTGAAGCAGAGGTGCTCTGGGCCACCGCTGAGGCGATTCCAGCAGGGGGCAGTCTTTCCCCAGAGAGAAAATCCAAATGTCTCCAAGGAGCCAGGGGCACGCGTGGGGTGTGTGAGACAGCCGCCTGGGAGGGTGTCAGATGAGTGACGAAGGCCAGCAAGAGGAGGAAGCAGGTAGTGACTTTTCCAATCCGTTTCTGCCGGATTCCAGGCCACAGAGCAGAAGAGCTCAAAAACTAAAATTTTCACCAATATACATACTTTAAAAAAAATTTATTAAATGTTTTTATTTTTGAGAGACAGAGAGAGACAGACCATGAGCAGGGGAGGGGCAGAGAGAGAGGGAGACAGAATCTGAAGCAGGCTCCAGGCTCCGAGCTGTCAGCACAGGGCCCGACGTGGGGCTCGAACTCACAGCCTGCGAGATCATGACCTGAGCCAAAGTCGGACGCCCAACCGACTGAGCCACCCAGGCGCCCCAGCATACTTTTTATTCTCCACCTACAAAACAAGATACTTCAAAAAGTGACCAACCGTGACAAGCCCTTGGGTCATTATTTAATGGGCTACAGCCACCGTATTCATCCTCAGTCCAATTGTGTAAATACAGCCTCAAATGCATTAATACGGCGGATTGCTGTCCTATTGTTGGGACTTAAAAGGACAGCATGAAAAATTACACGTACACACTTGAGTGAAGTGGCAGCACCCACTGCCACGACAACCATTATGGCCTCTCCTTTCAAAAGACACAAGTGGAAAGACCTGATCCTTTTGCTCACTGGCTCCAGAACAATCAACTAAAATCATTTGGCATAAGTATTATCCAGGGCTGCAGGGACTTGCCTCCTCCACTGCACTGGTGGGGCTGGCCCATAAGTTGGGGCCCTCCTTTCCTTTCCCACTTCCCCCCCATCATGGTACCACGAATACTGGTCAGAGTTTGCTGTAAGAACAAACGGCAGGTCATTTCAAACCCCGCCTTCTAACTATGGAAAATGTCAGGAGAATTTCAAGGAGAAGCCAAACGTTTTCCTAAAAAAGAGTCCTTCTTAATAGACAGGAGCGCTAAGCCGGACAGCAAAGGTCATCCCAACAGAAAGGCCAGGGGAGATGTTTGCAATCGGGACAAATGGGGCTTGAGGTTTTCGCACTGGGGGCAGAGGTTAAGAGCCTAACGTTCAAGGCAGGCTAACTGTCCCCCAAAGAATGTGTATGGAGATGGCATGTTGGGATCACAAGTCATTGATTTCAGTGGTTTGGGTACCATAGTGAGAAAGATACTTCCTTAGCTATGCATCTACGCTAACTTTTCAGGAAATTGTGGATGCTTGTTCCTTATTCTTTTAAAAATTTTTTTTAGTGTTTATTTCCTTTTTGAGACAGAGGGAGACAGGGTTTGAGCTGGGGAATGGGCAGGGAGGGAGGGAGACACAGAATCCGAGGCAGGCTCCAGGCTGTGAGCACAGAGCCCGACGTGGGGCTCGAACTCACGAACCGCGAGATCGTGACCTGAGCCGAAGTCGGATGCTTAACCGACTGAGCCACCAGGCACCCCTGCTTATTCCTAATTCTTAAGAACCGAAGAGAAGCCTGCAGAGAGAAGCTGCTGGTGTTTGCATAAGATCCCCCGCCTAAGTCTAATGAGGACACGCACAGGCTTAAAGGGTGTGTTGTGTTCGGTCATGTTGTTTTCCCAAGAGAGGCCGACCCTGTTCCTGCCTTAACTACCCTTAAAAACTGCCGAGAGACAAGAGGTGGGAAGATGGAGAGGGAGCCCCGATTCTACTTAGTAGGTGAGAAAATAGATTTACACAAAGTAGATGAGAAATGGAGGAGTGATGTCCCCGGAGGCCCAGTCCCCCCTTGTCAGGCCCCAGGAGGGATTAAGTTCATCTGTTCTAGTGATCCACTTTCACAGGCAGCTGACAGGGCCTCCGCAGTTGGTAAGGAAGCCAGAAAAAAAAAAAAAAAACCACCTACAGATGGGCAGAGTGCTGGTCCCAAGTCCCTGGGAAGCAGGAGAGAGCGGGACACTCTGAGAAGCCCGGATGAAGTGAGGTGGGATCCAGGTTTCCTGGATCCGAAGAGTGTAGAAATGCTACCTGGAATTCTGCAAAATGCACGGATGAGGAGGAGCGATGCTGTTTGAATACGTGCACCCGCAGAGAGCGGGACTCAGGAGGAACACAGGCTCTCGCCCCCCATCTCCCAGCGTTGCCCCCGCCTCTTTATCACTCCACGGGGAGGTCCGCAGCGCCCTTGCCACCCAAGCGGGCACAGTCTAGCGTGATCACAACAGCAAAGTCACCCTGTCCCAGGAATGCGGTCCTACACGGTGACACCCCTTCTCTGGACCAACCAAGTTTGGACCCGAGACTCAGTGATGGGCAAGGTCATAACTGAAGAGAGACGCCTGACCTCCAGCCTCTCCGATCACGCCTGTCTCTTTCAGATCTCCCAAGCCAGGCCACGATTCCTGCCAGCCCACGACTAGGTCCAGGGTCCCTGGGGTGGGGGGACCCTTAAAGAACGGACCATGGGTTTAGCCTGGCTTCACCTGCAGCAGCGATATTTATCTCAGACATCAGCAAAAGAAACATGGGACTCGGGATTTTTTTTTTTTTTTTTTTTTTTTAAGAAAAACGTATGCTCGAAACTTGCCCACCCAACTACTCTCCTGTTTTGGCTCTCCTGCCCAGTGGGCTACTTCCCAACCATTTGAGGTTCAGAGCAATCCCAAAAACCTGTGCAGCATTGGCACAAAGGTTGTGGCACAGATGCCCACAGATGTGTAGGTGACGAACTTGTAAGGCACTTCGATCTCTAGTCTCCGCCTGGCCTCCTTGTTCCTGGTGACCACCTTGAACCACGAGAATAGTAGGGACTTGCAGCCAGGAGACTGCAGGTAATGAGCTGGCGGACCAGAAGGATCAGCACGCATTCTACTCTGGTCAGAACTAAAAACTGCACATGTCGTAGAAAGCCAGCGGATGTTCCTGAATGATGGAGGGTTCGGCGCGGGCGCTCTACACGAGCTGGAAGAAGTACATCCAGAACCTTATATCACGTCACTCGGGCCGGGCTAGGATGGTTTGTGGTGTCCGCCGGGTTGGGCCAGGCAGCCTTTCCTCTTCTGATGTCGGGGTGAAGCTGCAACACAGGGAAGAACTCCACCATCGATGGACACAGACGGGAAGAGGGGTCAGGGCCAGTCCAGGCCATGATCGAATGGAAAGCAGGGCAGGGTGAGGCACAATAGAGGATCATGCAAGGCAGGACCAGATGCCACACCAGCACACATCCCTTCTGTGGGAGAGAGAAAGAAGGGTGTGCTTTTCAGTGCTTCCTGTGGACAGGTGTCCCTTCTATCTAGTCAAGTCATCCGATGCCGAAAGGACAAATTTAAAACACATGTTTTCCCCTTACACTCCTGCAAAAAATGGGAAGTTGTGCAAATCTTGACCACAGGAAACACCACGGGCGCCATTCACGCTACGCATTTGCCAGTTTTTCTGTCCTTGGAAAAGATGCTACGTGTTTTCGAACGAACAGCCCGACCACTTTTTCAGGATCTCTATTATTGCATTTTACTATTCCATCACAAGTGCCTTAAATTACATGGGGTCTTTTCTGGCAGCTCAAGGCTGTGGTTGAGGAGGAAGTTAGGTGTTGGGAGGCCTTGCACACAGCAATGCCCTTTTGTCACCTTTAAGGTACATTACGGGGTGGTTGAGAAGAGATTTTGACGCCGCCTGGCCTTTCTGGAGAGTTTGAATTTAACAGCGGTAGACAACTCAGCCAGTGGACGTGCTCCATGCCGTTTTAACCAACTTTTTTGGGGATTAGGATCGGTCTTTCTTCTGTTCCTCTCTTTTCCATTATTTTTCCAGTCCTCATCCTCCTTCCTTCCTCTTAAATGCTTATTTAAAATACTTCTAAGGCGCGCTTGCGGTTTCAACATCATGCGGCCCAACTTCAGCTCAGGTCACGATCTTGCCTTCTGTGAGTTCGACTCTGCTCATGCCTCTCTCTCTTTTCTTCTCGTGCGAAATAAAAGTTATATAAAAAAAAAAAAATGTTAAATACTTTAACCCCTCAATGTCTGTTCTTCCCTTCTGCGTTTTTAATAGGAATGCAATTGTAGTTACAAGTCTAATGGAATTAACAGAGGCACACATCAACTCAGAGAGTGAAGAACTGCTTTAGGTTTTACACAACGCTTTCATGATTTTTTTTTTTTTTTGGAAGTTTACAGTTGAAAACTCAAAATTTTTCCCCGAGGCATCGGAAAATCTGGAAGGCACCAGAAAGTACTACAGAGGCACTACTGGAAATCTGAAAGCTGCCGAAAAGCAGAAGAACTAAAGATCCTTGTTTCCATCACCTAGAGTCAACCCTGTCTATGTACGGGACGTGTGGCCTGCCTCTGTCTAGGATTCATTTTGACTTCGCGTTCTCAGGAAGAGACGTTCTTTCTTCTTCTGAAGGCGGTACCCTGTGTTTATTCAGCGGCTCGTTAATGTTCAGCTTTTCTGAATGTTACCCTGCATCACGCTGGCTCTTCTGCGACCCCCAAGAAGTCTCTTTTCTCCACATCCTCCTCCTTCCGCATCCGAGACACGGGCATTTCCAGACTCCGTCTTCCAGCCTTGTGTGTCTTCTCCCTCGGGGAGTATATCACACACATAACTTCCCCCCTCCAGCCTCTCCGTGGGGATCTCAGATCTGGGGTTTCAGGGGTCTCTCTCCAACGTGAGTCCTGCTTCTCTTGGCCCAATGCTGGACATTTTCACCCAGATGGACAGCCCCGCACACCAACGGGCTAAAATAGAAACGACCAACAAGCAAAAAGAGACAGGAGCAAAGGAAATGAGTTTATAGAAAAGGAAACAGCACCTCTTAAGCACACAAAAACATACCTGAACCTATGAGTACGTGGAAATTAAACTGGGCGGAGAAGAAATGAAAACTTATGTTCACCTAACAGTCACTACGTGAATGTTTATAGCGGTTCTATTTATAATCCTCCCCCCCCCCCCCCCCCCCCCCCCCCCCCCGCCAAAACTGCAAACAACCTCAAAGCCATTCACTGGGTGAACGCGTGCTACACTCATTGGCCAGGATGCTTCCGCGTGATAAAAAGTAACACATTCCTGATGCGTCCCACAGCTTGGAAGCAAATCTCCAGGGAATTCGGATTGGGAAAAGCCGCTCTCCAAGGGTCACATGCCGCATGGTTCTATTTATGTGACATCCTCTAAAAGATACAACCCTAGTGACAGAGAACAGATCAGCGGCTGCCAGGGTTGAGGGGTGGGGGGAGGGTGTTTGGGGGGATAAAGAAACCGTTCCGTTTCGTGTGCCTGGCCAACCCCAATCTGTACAGGTGTTAAAATCCGTAGAGCCACATACCCAAAACAAAGGCAACTTTACTGTTACTGCAAATCACATTTCAAGCCAAAAATTAAAAGGTGGTGGGTTTTTTTTCCCCGTTGCTTTCACTAAATAACACAGTGGGGCATCTGTGGCTGGGTGGAAAGCAGCGTCTGGACTCCTACAGGTTCCCGGCTTGTCCCTCCCTCCTCCCCCCACCCCCACCCAACCCGTGCTGGGAATGCTCCCCTCACCTACCAGCTGTAACAAAAGCCAGAAGTTCGAAAACATTCTGCTGAGGAAGCAGAAGAAAGGAAAGGGGACTCCTGTCCGTGCGACTGTAGGAGTGCAAAATGGCACAACCCTCGTGGGGGAAGAAAGTTTGAATTTCACCTCTCTGGCCCGCAGTCTCATTCTGGGACTTGGCCATAGGGATCCACCTGCCTCTAGCTGCAAAGAGGTGTGTATTTTCAAGTTGTCCAGTGTGGTAGTGTTGGCGGTAACAGGAGGCTGGAAAAATGCCAAGTTCCACCTATAGGGACCGGTTAGATCGAACCACGGTCGAGCCACACAATGGAATACTCTGTCTCTATGAAATGGGTGAGGAGATTCTGACATGAAACTTTTTTTTTAAGGTTTGTTTGTTTGTTTATTTATTTATTTATTTATTTATTTATTTTGAGAGAGCGTGTGAGCTTGAGCCGGGGCGGGGTGGAGAGAAGGGGAGAGAAAAAGAATCCCAAGCAGGCTCCGCACCGTCAGCACAGAGCCCGACGTGGGGCTCGAACTCACGAACCTTGAGATCACGACCTGAGCCAAAATCTAGAAGCAGACGTTTGACTGGCTGAGCCACCCAGGAGCCCCTCTGACGTGGAATTTTTAAAAGCACAGGGCAGGCCAGTGTGCCTAACATGCTGCCATTTTCATTTTTAAAAAGATGGGAGAATATACAGCTAAGTTCTTCCCGGAATACGCAAACAGGTCCACTTAAATGGCGGGGGACACGGTGGGCAAGGAGACTTTTCACAGGACACCCTCGTGTGCCTTCTGAATTTTATTATCATGTAAACGTGCTTCCTCCTTAAAAAAATTCAAGTGAAATAATTCAGCGTCTCCTCTTCCAAACAGGATCTGCCTTTCAATTCCCAGGTGGAGTGGGGATCCCAGGTGAGCCCAGCTGTGTCCTCCATGGGGATTTGGGCGTACGTGGAAAACGGTGGCAGGGCGGTGGGGGTGGGGGATGACCTGCTAAGATGTCACCTTAGGACTGAGAGCATCTGGTCTGCGAGTCTTAAAGGAACACACAGTTCTGAGGGAAGGAGGAGACCCAGGTCCAATGAACTCAAACACCCCAAACAAGCCTTTACTCTCAGTGGGGAGAGAAGATTCTACCACTCAAATGATGTCCCGGCCAGCCCCACCAAAGTCCCATCTGCGTTCTGAAGGAGTCGGAGAGAATGAAGAGAGTCATTTTGCCTCAGTGTATAAAACGCAGAGCTGAAGAAGGCTGTTTTGAGGTCCCTCTGGCGGAGGGCGCTCCAATGGGAAGAACCCATTCCTCCTCCTCGTGCCTGTTGGCCACAGTGCCCTTGGTGAGACCACCTGGCAGGACGAAGGCAGAGGGCCCGCCTCATTCACTATGGCCCTTGGATCCATCTTGGGTGTAGACCTGCGGAGCCTGGAGGGGCAGCTGAAGAGACGCTGATGACAGGCAGACCAGCAGGGGAGGGGCCTGGTGGGGCAGGACTCAGCAGTCACAGCATCTCCTAGACGAGCTACGGGGCAGTGACCGCCGGTACCTGCGAGCTGCTGAGCCTGGAAGGCAAGGAGGCAGGACCAACCGGCTGACCTAGGCGGGGAGCAAGGGACACCATACTGTCTGACCCCAAGGAGGTGCTAGGGGGGCTCAGACTGGTTGGAGAGCCCCGGGGAGACTCCCTCTGAAACGCCAAAAATATTTTGTGGGGGTATTTCTGTTCGGGGTGGGGACATACACAGGTGTGCAGGGCTTCGGAGGTTTGGAGTGATCTTGTGGGTGTTCGGGAGATTCGCCCCAGTCTCCCTGGCCCCAGAAGCTCAGGGTCCTGCTGGCCACACTGAGCGCTCCCTCCCTTTGCTGCCCATTGCTGTGTTCCGCGGAGTCCTCCCCCTGGCACAAATCCCTGCTCCGGCTGTCACCACCCCGTGGTCAAACCTTCACGTCACCTCCTGCCTCCCACTCTCCCGACCGCCTTCCTGATGGCTGTTTCTTTTT